CTTTTGACCTCTGAGCCCACACCACCGCAGTCTGAGTAAACTTCCCCCCTTTCCTTCCAGTGAGGCTGGGTGTTCCTGGGGTGCAGGGCAGAGCTGGGGCTGTGCCAGCCCAACCCTGTGGCTCCGCGGGTTCAGGTTGTGCATGGGAGAGTGGGAGCACTGGGACAGCAAAAGTCCCAGGAACTGGATTTCTCCTTGCTTTCCCTGACCATGGCAGCCCAGGGAGAAGCCCTTATCAGAGAGGCTGGGTGTTTCCCCAGGCACTGGGGAAACAGATTTCAAATCTCAGGGCGCCTGGCTGGGGGCTGGTGCCCGAGCACTTTGGCCCTCGCTTTGTGGCACAGCCGTGTGTCATGGGGCTGATGTCCAAGTACCTGGTGTGGCCTCATGCCACACTGGACTCTTCAGAAATCTTGGGACCCTCGCACCCTGTATCTTATGCCTCCCACCCAGCTGCCGGTACCTCAGGTAACCTCTCCCCAGCCCGGGTGCAGGGTCCTCTGGTCGAACGAGTCTCTCCTGGCCCTGAGGATGGCTGCATAGCCCATGGTGCGATGCCCCAGTCTGGGGCTGGTGCCAACATCTCCTCTGCCTGCGCTGCCATGCTGCCTGCCTTCAGCTCCTCTGCAGAAGCAGTGGCTCCTTATCTGTGGCAAGCTCTCTGACTTAGGGTGGCTTTCGAAGCTGGAAACCCGGCAGCCAGCCAGTCTAGGCTCCCCTGTAAGTTGGGTAGGAGTCAGCCCTGACCTTTGCATGCAGTATTGGGCTGGCAGAGAGGCAGCGTGCCTCCCTCCAGCAAGGCTTTTGCTGCCCACCTCTGCCCACCACCCGCAAGGGGTCTCATCAACACCCCTTGGAAGGTGTCCCCCTGTCAGGGATGCAATTTGCCTTTGGTTTTCCGAAAATACCTCCCACCTCCCACCAGAAAAAGCACCTTCTTAAGAAAATTCATTTCTGACAGAGCAGAAAACAAGCAATATTAAAAAACCTCAAGGAAAAATGAGAAACTAAGTGACTTGTGCAAACATGGCTTTGGCAAAATGCTCTCCTTTGTTTTCTTGGGTTTTTTTCCTCTGGCCTGGGGAGGACTGGTATTTCCCTGAACTGGACAGGTCTTTTGTAAGCCATGGGCGGAGGGTGCATGGTGTGGGCTGTGTCTGCAGGCCCCTTCCAGCTGTGCCTGGCACAGACAGGGGAGCCTATCTGCATGGGAGGGGGACCGCAAGCAAGCTCCCTTTGGGTGTCGAGAAGCCCGATGGGTGACGGCCACCGAGCCTGTGCAATGGCAGGAAGAGGGGCTGCCCTTTCTAGGGTCCCTGGAAGGACCAATGGAAGGCTGCGTCCCACACACGGGGATGAGGAGGAGCGGGGGACTCAAACCACCCTGCAAAATAGGTGCTTTGTGCCTGCCTGCCCATGCCACCGGGCGACGCAGCCCCAAGTGACTCTGGCCATTTACGATGTGAGTGCTGCCTTTGTGGGGCTGCCAGAGTGCCTCGTTACAGGAGGGACCCCCTCGGCTGCCCATTCACTGGTGCTCCGAGCGGGCGGCCTTTCTCCTCCTAATTAGGCCGGGGAGGAGGAGGCTGCCTGGGACTGCCCTCCCCATGGAGCCAGCCGTGCCCCCCGGCCTTCAGAGCATGGGGCTCAGTGACCCCTAATCCCGCCTGGCTCTTGGGTGCAGGTGGGGGGCTCCACCTCTGCTCCCCATCTGCTGGCAGGGTGGTGAGGCCATGGATCTGGAAGCGATTATTTGGGAAAGCTGCGTCCTGCATTATGTGCATGTGGTTTCCTCCTCCTCAGTTCCTGGGGGCTTGGGGAGGGTGGGTTCTTTCATGGGTTTTTCTTTGTCAGCTCTCTTTCATACAGCTTTATTTTCCTTCCTTTTGTCTCGGGTGCCTTCCTTTCTCCTCCCCGGGCTCAGCCCCAGCCCCAATGCCTCCCTTTCCCGCGGGGTTTACCTGCTGGCATGGATGCTGGCCCAAGCCCTGGGAGGTGGGGCATCGGCCCCTGCAGGGACCAGGGCCACCGCCACGCCTGGCACCTCGCTTGGGGCATGCAGATTTTAAAGGAAGTCAAAAGCCCATGCCTGGGGGCTGGGAGCCCCCATTCTCGGGGCTCCCTGGGGCTCCTGCCCCAGGAGGGGGAAGATGGGTCTCAGCGTTGGGGTGGGGTGAGGGGGGAGTCCTCCACCCCGGAGGCTCCTGCTGCTTTGCTGATCCTCGTCTCTGCCTCACCTGCTTTTTCCCACACCTCTTCCTGAAATGAAAAGTCAGTGCTGTGAGTAGGAGGGCTGGAGGAGAGTGGAGCAGAGAAGGAGCAGCCCTTGGTGCGCTTATCGCCTGCAAATCACTAATAAATACGGGTGGTTTCTCGGGCCATCCCCACTCCTCGCCTGGGAAATAGTAGTTTAGCTGAAAGGCCGACCTCCAAGTCCACATTTTTGGGAGAATACTCATCACATTGTGAAGGGTTACTCCTCTGCAGTGCAGTTCCTGCTTGTGATTTCTGCCCTGAAGGCAGAAATAATCTGGGGAGACTTTGTCCACCTGTTGAGTTTTGTGAAATGTGCAAAAAAAATACCTGCCTGCAGAGTGGAGGGAGAGGTGGGTGTTTTTGGAGCTGTGAGCACAGTAATTGTGTGAAGTGAGCCCATGCTGGGGCTGGAGGTGCCGCGGGCTCTGGTAGAGCCACACTCCTGGGTGCGGGATGCAGCAGGATGCCCTGGAGCCCAGGTTTGGAAGCAGAGGTGAATCCTGCATGGTTTGTGACCTGAGCCCCTTGGTTCAGGTGCTTGCAAGCATGGGCTGGAGGGGAATAGCTGAATAAAGGGGCGTTTATAGGATGGCATCAAGATGCTTCCTACTGCTGGTGCTGTTTTTCAGGAGGGCCATCCAAGGAGGTCCAAGGTGGTGTCTGGTTTCTGCTCTATCACTTGCTTATGGGGTGGCCCAGCCCTGCCGGGCTCGCTCATGCAATTACGGGCATGACTGAGTGTTGCTGCTGGACGAGGTTGTGGTCGTCAGCCAGGAGATTGGCATTGCTCGAATTCATGTGGCTGTGAGAGCCAGCAGTGGACGGGGCTGTCTCCTGCCCGACTGATAGCTGCCACCGCTTGCCCTGTCCTTGCATGTGGCTGTACTCTGCACTCACCTGTGCAAGGAAAGCGATTTACCCCTCCAGTGGCAGTGACCTCGTGCTGCTGGGAATAGCTAGAAGAAGATAGGCATCCTCTGGCTGTCCCTTTTGCTAGCAAAAGTCTGTCCTTCTCATAATTCAAGCTAAGAAGTCTCCCTTGCAGGTTAGTGGGAAGCAGTGCCGGGTGGTCCCGGCAGAAGAGTGACGTGGGGAGGCTCGGAGGGAGAGGTGCTGTGGAGCCAAGATGTTCTCCTGGCGGGGCAAGATGGGGAAAGGTTTCTCCCTTATGTGCCGCACGGTGACTGTATGCCCAGGGCTCTGGCTGCCTCAGTCGTCCTCCTCATCTCCTACTTTTTACTGATGGTTTCCAGACTTTATATAAGAAAAGGGAATTGATTGATGTCAAAGACGCCTCTCTTAATGTGACCTGAACCTTTGAAGGGGTGGGAAGGCTCCATTTAGGGGATGCGACTAAAAACTTATCAAGACTTGTGCTTTTGCAGTCAGGCATTCAGCAGTTGGGGTCTGGGCAGTTAATGCCGCCTTTGTCGGCGGCGTGCGTCGTGGGCTTTAGTCCCCAGTTACATAAAGCTGCCCTGCACTGTGGCAGCCTGCTCAGCCCGTCACGAACATGCCAGCTGTTTGGTGTTTATTTTTATATCCTCTCTCTTTGCATCTACTCTCGGCACCGACTGCCCAGTGCCGCTCGCTGGAGGCCTGCCTCCATCTGCACCCGAGGCAGGAGCCATGCTGCTGGGGATGGCCTCACCATGCAGGTGGGCTTGTTGAGTTTGGGGTGCGGGCACAGAGGGTAAGCAAGGAGGGCTCTCTGGGACTGCACGCACACACAAAACCCAGGGGTGGTTGTGCAGCCCCTGCTCTGTGCCCTCAATAGAGATGACAGCAGCGTCCCAGCGGAAAGGAGCCGGGAGTCCTGCAGCGATGCTGGGTGAGAAATAACCCCTCTCTGTGGCCTCTGCCTGTACGACGATCCCTAGCACATAGTCAGCCATTTAAGCACCCATCTCGGCACTGGTGCTTGAAACCAGTGACCTGGGTTTTCATGGTGTCAGCAAAGGTTATGGCCGTACTCACAGGAACATACAGCCCTGTCAGGTTTAGTGCCCATGTTGCGCTGCAGAGGGTTACGTCAGTGCTTGTGTCGAGATGAAGTGTGGGAGCACAGGGGGCTAGTAAATAGATTCAAAATGCTTTTCTTCTAACTACACGTTTTTAGTGCTCCGCATTGACTCTGCATCGCTTGTCTGTTTTCTGATCCTTCTTCTGAATCTGCCCTCTTCCATTTTATTTTTGAAAAGGTTTTTGTTCGGCATCTCTCCGTGCTGGGTCGCAGCAGTGCTGCCTTTGGTCCCCTTTGAATAACAAAGCGGCTCCTTTATTCTGGAGGCTTGGCCTGGAGGCTCAGCATTGCTGCAAAAACAGCCAAGGGTTTGGCAGGGCTATAATTAAATAGTGAAGGGCCTGTCACAGGACAGGTTGCCCCAGCTATTTTAGGGATATTCCAATATTCAGGTCTATAATAGATGACTCAATGCAGCCGAGGGGATATTGGCTTATACCTCTGTACTTTGATCACGGCATAGATGAATGAGTCCTGCTGGCCTGATTACTGAAGTTATTTTATTGTTAGAATAAGGTCGGCTGAATCCTTGAAATGTTATGGTGAGGGAACAGCTTTGTGGTGGGAAGCGTGCAAGGCTTCAGGTGCAGTGGGCAACATGCCGCTTGTTCCCCAGAAGGGACCCTGGGTTCCCCCCAGGGATGCCATCGAGGCCATGGTGGGACCGTGAGGTTTCCAGTGCTGTGGAAACTTGACTAATTGGCTCTTTCTTTCCCTCTAGTACATCGGGAGTCTGGATGTGCCACGGCCAAACAGCCGGGTGGAGATCGTGACAGCCATGCGGCGGATCAGGGTGAGTGTGGTGAGGATGCTCCTTCCCCTTCTGCGTCGGGGGAGCAGGGGTACCGCTCCTCTGTCTCCGCTTACAGCCTTCTCTCACATAAGTCCTGTCCTCCAGGTTATTCATAACTCTATTTTTCACCGTCCCTCTCTCCACTGAGATCGCCCTGTAACCCGGGCACGGTGCCTGCAAGCTTCATGTGCCACACCGTCACGTTTGGAGCATCCCCAACACTGGCTATGCCCCGTGGTACGTGGGCATCCCATCTGCCGTGGCTGGGGTTAGCTGCAGCCCGAGTGGTAGCAGAGCCGTCTCTGTGCTCATGGTGCTGCATCCTGTGCAGGAGCGTGTGCTGCGGAGACGGGGATGGGGTGGAAGGCGGGTGTGGGATGTGGGGCTGCCAGCACCGGGTGGAAACTGTAGCATGTCCGCAATTCGGAGGATTTCCTCATGTGTCAGTCCCAATTCAAAGGTAACAGCAAACTACTTGTGGAAGAGGTACGTTTGTGTTTTACTGCATGCGTAAGAGCTTCAGCTGCGTGAAAATTCGGGTGCTGCCTGGATATGCCAGCAGGTTAGTGCCTGGTAAATGGCAATGTGCAAATTAAAACGCTGAGTAATGAGCTCTGGGGTCGACCAGCAGCAAGCTTGTTTAACAGCGAGTAGGTCAGGGGATGTCAGCTGGTAATGAAGTCATCTGGCTTCCCAAAATACTTATAGTCAGGATACGGGGAGCTGTTGCCGTATAATGCTTGGCCGATAGCCAGGAGAGGAGCTTTTCCTCTGCACCTTGGCCTCTCGCCTGCACAACTGGAAAGTGTTCAAGGGTGGGCTGGGAGGTGAGCAAACCACACACCCAGCGAGCTCGCTGCCCAAGGCTTAAAACAGCAGGAGCTTGACTGCTGTCCGATGCACAAGACAGCCCTTTGGGCAGTGGTTGGACCTTGGTCCGATGTACGTGGTGGTGGTGTGGCCACAGGCACAGGTAATTTGGTCTGCTCTGTGGGTCACAGCAAGGGGTCTGCCCTATCTTCCAGGGATGGCGCTCTCCTGGGAACAGCACTTTTAATTGGAAGGAGCTGAGGATAGTCGCAGGGAGTTGAGTAATGCATGAGCTGTCTTTCTGGTGGCCTCGTGGGATCCCATGAGCGCTGGACCTGCTCGTGTGGCTGAGCAGCTTGGCTGTTGACCTGCTCCTCTCTCAGCTCCTCCTGCAGACTCTTGCTATAATCTCATTTTCTCTTTTCTCATCGCCGGAGGAGGAGAGGAGTATCCTATCCCAAGGACAGGAGTATCATATCCCAAGGACACAGATTGCAAGGCTCTTCTGTTTCAAACTTTCAGCGCATAAATAGTTTGTGGGCTTTTCTCAGCAGCTTTCCTACCTGCTGCCCTGTCCTCTTGGTGGTGGTTAATGCTGTGGCCGGTGCACAAGTTGAGAAGTCCTTTATGGCATTAGGTTTGCCCACGTTGGTTCCAAATGAGGTCTGGGACAGAACAGCGGTCACGCCATCAAGAGCTCTTATAAACAGCTGTTTCCTCTGCTGCCTTTCAAGATAAGACTTTTGAAAGAATGCAGCTCCAGCCCCAAAATCACATAACTCCACGTCAGTATGGGAGATTTGGCACAACTTTGAGGGCTTAAATAAACCCTAGGAAAAAAAAAAACCCAAACACCAAAACATCCTTGTTGACGAATATAAATAAACTTAAGCATAGTCAAGAAAATTCATAGATAAAGCTCTGAATGGCAGGGAAAGGACACAAACTAGGGCAAAATAATGATTTCTCATGAGGAATGATGTGCTTGAAATGTGCTCAGGCTTTCTTGATCTAGTGTAAGATGGGAGAGATGCAAGTCATTGAAAGGTCGTGAGTTTGCAGATCAGATTGGCCAGAGAGACTTTTAATGTCTGTTTATTTATCGCGGGGTGCTGTTTGTGAAGGTGATGCCAGGATGGTTTGTTTGACCAGAGTTTACGTGTATAGCCCTTCCCTGGTTTCCCGTGTTTTGCGCTGCCGTTGCACCCAGCAGCAAGATGTTACCGTGGCGTTGCAAGGGCATTCGCTGGCTGGGCTGGGTGCCGGAGGCTGGTTTCAGTTTGGCTGGAGGTCAAGGAATGCGTGTCCTTCTTAAAGCAGAAGGGTAGTTGTGTTCTTTAAGGAATAAAGTAATCCCAAAATACTGGCATGGGGAAACCAGAGGAAGAAAAAGCTTATTTAGGCACAGAAAGCAAGCAATGAGAGATCTTCAAGTGCAAGCTGCAGCGGTTCTGCATGTGGTGTGTGAAGCAGCTGCTGACCCTGAGGTTTGTATGGTTTTTAATGCAGTCCCTGGTTTAGGGAGAAAGTGCTGTGTCCCAGTTTGTTTGGAGTTAGTTGCTGCTGGTGAAGGAGGGGGACTCTCACTGTCCCCCTGCCGCTGCAACTCCCCTTTCTCGGTGCTGCCTTTGCCCTAGCTGCTTACTGGGCTTTGCCTCTATTTACTAAATGACAAAAAAAATGATCCTGCAAAGAAGTGAGGAAGCACCCTGCCCGACAGCGGGGGTCCCAAGGGGGAGAGCTCCCTGGAAGCCCCCCATAACTGCCTGCCCTGGGCTGGGAGCAGGGAGGGACGGGGCCATGAGCAGCAGCAGCTCCTGCAGCGCTGCCTCCCCTCTCCTCCCCAGCAGTCGGGACTCCGAGGGCAAGTGTGCGGGCTTGACCCCAGCTTCCTGTTTAGATGGAGACCTGACCCTTTGGGGGCAAAGAGGAGGACATGGCATAGCCGGCATTGCTGGGATTCCTGCTCCGGGCTGGACTCTGCCACCCTGCTGCCACTCTCCCGAGAGCAAAGCAGAGCAATGGCTGTGGGCAGAACAGCTCCACCAGAGCAAAATGTTTTAAGCCCAAATCTTGTCCCTTTTGTGGATCTGGGTTGAGAGGGACTTTATACAGGGAGTCAGCATTGCAGGGCAGGGATGCCATCCCTTTCCTCCCCCTTGCTGAAGGGCTGGCAGTGGCATGGCCATCCTCATGGTGCTGGATGGAGGGAGGGTTTCTGTCCAGAAGCAGGAGGATGTTGGAGAATTCCCGGGATTCTTGCAGCTCAAGGGCAAGGAGGGAAGGGGACGTGCTCAGCCAGCTGCCTCTGCCTTCCTGCTTTTCCTGCCTGCATCGGCTGGGCTTGCTGGGGATGCAGCCCTGTCTTGCTCTGCATCTTGGTGCAAATCCCTGGCCCTGAAAGGACTCAGTGGAACAGGACATTAGCCGTGCCAAGGATGCACTTGGACAGCAATTTCATGAGCATTTGCTGCAGCTTTCCTCCAAAGCCTACATCTTCTGGCTTTCCTGCAGAGCACCGATGGCCACATCAGTACTAATAAATACAATAGGCCAGGGCTTGTTTTCCTGACAAGCAGTTGGGCTTGTGTTTGTACAACTGAACCCCTTCTCCTCCTCATCCCAAAACAGGGTGACCCGGTCCATGTTGCTTCATGCCCTAAACTGCTGGGGTAGGTTGGCCTTCAAAATGCTCCTTGGCTCCTCTGGATGCAAGGTGTGAGAAACCGATCCGTAAGTCCAGATAGTTACCCGTGGGCACCCAAACATCAAAAAGTCCCAAGCTCAACAGTAACTAAATGGTTGTTAAAGCTGCGGCCAGCCTGGCCTGTTGGTGTGAGCCCAGGGGACCTTCCTTGCCCAGGCTCTCCTTGCCCAGCAGCTTCCTAGGAGGCCACGGTGCTCTTCTGCTCTGTGCCAGTCACAGGCAAAGCTTGAGAAATTCAGATGGGAGCTGATGAGAGTGGTCTGGGACAGGTCATACGTCCATCAGTTACCGAAGAGGATGTTACGGTACTGGAGAGCAACAGTCCAACTGATGCATCTTCCAAACCATAAGGACTGTGAGTTGTTGAAGATTTCAGTTTAAAGTGCCTGAGCTAGCTGCAAAACATCCTTTCTTTTTTTTTTTTCAGAATGGCTGAGCACATGGGGCCCTAAATGACAACAATCACTGTGTATTTTTTATGTTGTCGTGATGTAAATACATGCAAATGCTTTCCTCTCTGTGCTCCTGGCATGTCTCCAGTGCAGCCAGTGCTACCTGGCTGGAGCTTGGTGCAGTCGTTCTAGAGAATTTGGAATCATCCTTTTTTTGCTACTTGGATTGCTGAGTGCAGCTTTAATCCAGGTTTTCTTTGATGCCAGAAAGGATGAAATCCTATATAGGCACTTCTTAAAAGCTGCTTCTGTGGAAGTCTTCTGCAAGCCTTTTTCTGGGAAGTGTCCAGCTGAGTTTTGCAGGCTCAAAACAAGGAGGCATTTCAAGCACTTTAAAATCTAGCTCCTCTACACCTCCTACTCTGTCAGGTACATCTGATTTTGTGGGACTTCTGCTGCTTTGCATAGCTAAGCTCTATTTTAGCAAATTGGCAAAATTGCTGAATTTCTACAAGCTTGTTTAAAGCAAGATTTTTGCATCCTCTGCAAGCCACATGCAGTCGGACTGGTGTGAAAACTGATAGGTTTGGCCAGTTTATTTGTGCAGAGCGCCTGGTGTAATTTTGAGCTCATTTAATTAAAATATTTCTGAGATACCCCTGTTCCTGCCATGGCAAGTTTTTAAAAACGTTAGGTCATTTACAATGATGCTTTTTTTTTTTTTTCCCTCCTTTCATCATGCAAGGAGCAGCATGGCTGTCCCTGCCGTAAAACGGAGCAGGATTTGAAAGCGAGCTGCCCCTGCATGCATGAGCCCTGCCTGGGGGCAGCCCACCCCCCACTGCCTGCGGGGCACTTGGGCAGCAGGCAGTGGGTTGGCCAGGAGATGCTCGAGCTTTGGCCACCTGAAGAGCGCAGCCTGCTCTTTGCCAAGTCACGGCACTCAGTGAATTGTCGGTGAGCTAATGACTTGATGTGATTATCTGAGATGAACAAGATTACATTGTATTAGATCTGGGAGGAACCGAAGGGATATCTGTAATAATTTCAATTGCTCTTTCAGTGTTCTGACAATTGCAGTAAAAAGGGTG